AGCCTGCAAAGCAGAACAGCAGCATATGGACAACAGCCCCAAGTCAAACACGCCCTGGGATGATGCCGTGTGATGTGCTACCGAGGCTGAATGAGGCAAACAACCATTCGGGGAGCAGCTAGGGGGCAAGGAAAACAACAGAGCATAAGCCACCCCAACCCCCAAACAGGAGACAGGACAGGAGAGAGAGATTCTTCTTCGGCTCCTGCATCCCCGTCCCCAGTTCCCTGCAGAAACATGGGCTCAGTGCCCTTACACTGGTCTCTATTACTCGACCCAAGTGAGGACTTCAGCAATTTCCCGCAAAGCAGGCCCGGAACTGAACTAACCCCTTTCAGGCTTCTAGCCTCTCCACCGTCCCTCACTGCCCCCCGGAAAAAAAACACCCTCACACATACAATTGCAGGCACACTGAGGAACCCGACTGAGCGGATTTCCCAGCGTGGCTCCAAGCAGCCGGCTGTTTTACCCTCCCGGCGCTGGTTCTAACCCCCAGGGGGGCAACTGGGTTTGGGTGGGAAGGTCTGTATCCAGAGCATGCTGTATCCAGCGCAGCGCAGCGTAGTAAAGCATGGGACAAGGCATGCAGATCATCAAGCCATTGAAACCCGTCTGACGGCGGGCTCAAACGAACAACTCCTGCCCCATGGAGATTGCTAGGAAAAGCATTTAAGACCCTGGAGAGAAATTAGATGATAACTTTGTCCACTGGCTCATTTGTCCATTCAAAGGTTGGTGCAAGGAAGTGTGGTCCAGGGGTGAGGGGGCTAGCCTAGGACACCTGGGTTCAATTCTTGGCTCAGCCACTACCTTCCTGTGTGACCTTGGACATATCACTTAATTGACCCCATGGCTCAGTTTCCCCCCTGTAAAATGGGGTGAATATCATACCTCCCTGGAGCAGTTAGAGAGGCTAGAACGTATCATGACCATGAGGCACTCAGATACAGTGGTGCTGAGGGCAATGTAAGTACCCAGAGAGAGTGCCTGTTGTGGCTGTGAAGTCCTGAGTGGCCAATGGTGTGTAGCATCGTGACCACTACAAGGTTATTCATAGGTTCCAAGGCCAGAAGGGACCACTGTGATCAGCGAGTCTGATCCCCTGTAGAGCCCAGGCCAGAGACCTGCCCCACACTAATTCCCAGAGCAGATCTTTTAGAAAAACATCCAACCTTGATTTACCAAATGGTCAGTGATGGAGAATCCTCCACGCCCCTTGGTTAATTGCTCCAGTGGTTAATTACCCTCCCTCCTCTGTTCTTCTCCCCCCCGGTAAGTGGGTCATTCAAGTGCTGCTGACCCCTTGGTATTGATGCGGATGCAACATGTAATTCCAGGTTGCTGCTGCCTTCCAGGGGAATGAAGATCCTTTCCAAGAGGACCACTCCCTGAGACGACATTTCATTTGCACCTCGCCCTTCAGGGTCTGGCAGCTCCAGGTGGGCTCCAACACAGGCAAACTGAACTGCCGTGTGCATAGCAGAGGGGGGAAGACTGTGGGGACTGGTCCTCCTGCCAGCCAGGCATCTTCCCAAAAGAGTGCAACAGGGCTAATGTGGGGTGCCGTTTATCACAATTCATACAGAAGCTCCTCTCCCGCACACAGGCAGATGCAGGAGAGGTGGAAGCACCCGTAATTGGGACCAGCCCCGTGCAAAATTCATTCCAGGTAATGAAACAAACGATCCCCAGACAGATGGATTTGCTGCTCCCTCCTTTCCTTGACCTATTGCTGTTTGGCTTGGACAGCTCAACGTGGCCTTATCGGCAGATCGGCTTGCAGCCGCGGCACTCTGCCAGCCTCCCTTGTTCCAGAGCACTGGGTAATATAATTTTTTTTTAATATTTATGGGCCAGATCACATGCCTTATTAAGCCAGACCTAAATCATTCCTCCACCAGCCCCCACCTCCAAGATCCTGTGGAATGTGCCTGCCATTAAACACGCAATTAGCCTGCATTTACAAATCTGCAAAAGGCTCTGGCCAGCCATTCATCGCTCACCAGTGGGGATTTTATGCCTCCCACCAGCTGAGTCCATCTTGTTCGCTGTCTAATTAGTCACCGGCAAGCCAATTCCATTGGAACCGGCTGCAGTGCCACGAGCTACCAAAGTACTACGGCCTCCTCCTCGGAGAGCGGGGGACCGGCCCGTGTCTTTGGACAAGTAAATGTCTGAGTCCTGCCAGCTCTAGGACACAGGCCTGGCCTGCTCCGGGCAGCTGCTGCGTGCTCTCAATTTCCCTTGACCGTGGTGAGAGGTCCTGCTGGTGCTGCGGGGGCCCCCAAGGGGGAAAATGGGGACATCCCTCCCCCTCCTTAGAACCCCCCAGACCCAGAACTGTGCAGGGGAGAACACGCTCCTTGAGGGCAGTATGACCCACGTGGCATCCCGTCTCCCCCAGCCACGTGGCCTTTGGGAGGGAGGAGCCAGCCCGGGAGCAGGTCAAACCAAGACTATCAGATGCTGCTGATGTCATTTCCCAACGTTGCACCCTGAACGTTCCATCCTCTGTGCTGATTGGCTGCTCGCCTCAACCCTCACCTGCGCCCCGCCTCCCACCCAGCCAATTCCCAGCTAGCGGAACCCCACGGAGAGGATTTCAATCACAAAACAAATGCGGAACTGACATGCCATTTGCCCCCATCACACAGTGGTCCCTCTGCTCGTGCGGCAGACCCCTCCCCTCCATCCTTTGTCTATTTACATTGCAAGCTCTTTGGGGCAGGGACTGTCTCTTGCTTTATGTCTGTCCGGCACCTTGCACGACGTGGCCTGATTCTGCACTGCCACAATCCACGTGAGAAATAACGGATAAAGCCCCCAACACCTGGCGGGATTGGAGCTTTCAGACCCTGCTCTTGCAAGCTACTGGGCAGCGCCAACGCCAGGAGTTGGGTGAATGTGGCCTGTTGACCTCAACAGAAGCTGACAATACTCAGCACCCTTTGTGGGAGGTGCTCTGCTCCTGGCAGGATCGGACCCCAGTCTCTCTGGTTGGCATACGTGTTCTGCACGCATCCCGCTTCTCCCGCTAAATGAGCATCCGGCCAACAGGCTAGGAAAATACCAGCCCAGCAGGGGTTAACAGAAAGGCCCAGATGGAACGTGTCCATTGCTGATGTGGGCCCTGGCAGTGACACCACCTTGGAGGGGATCACTCCACAACCAGGGCTGGCTCGGTGCTTTGACGCTGTATGACCCCACCAGGAAAGGGATAGGATCAAAACAGATCAGGATGCGCTGGCCCAAGGGCACCCCAGACAGAGAGCCAGAAGCACCACCGCTCAGAACCACCACTAACCCAAACCCCTCTTTCCCTGCTGCCTGGCTCGGACGATTCCAAAAGCAACGTGACAGAGCCGCATTCGTACTCCTCCACTGCTTAACACCAGCGAGCGCCAGGGGACGGATCATTCAGCAAAGCCAAGGAGAGAAACAAGCAGCATTTAACCATTAGCATGTGTGTAAGGAGACCCTTAATAAACTCTTTTCCCTCGTTCCTGTCTGCCTTGCTCCGGGCCACTAATCCAATTGAGCAGAGCTCAGCGCTTGTAACAAAGCTGTGACACATTTGTCAGGTCCCTGACTAGACCCATGGCTAATTTTACAACACTAATTTATCTTAGCATATTATATCGCTTTAATTTCATCCCCCCGGATCCCATTACCACCGCCGTACCTTGTAGCCAATGTGTACCGGTAATTGCTATTATTAGCAACGTACTCCACTGGAGATGCCCTGCAAATAAAGGGAGCAACAAGCAATCCAGCCATCAGGCCAGCATGCACTGAATCAGAAAGGGAAGCAGGCCAGCCCGCCAGGAAAACAAGGCGGCAGAAAGAGGAGGAAAAGGTGGCACCTGGACATGGACAAATGGGATGAAATAAAGGTCAAACTCTACTTTTGGTGACACTGGTGTAAATCCGGAGTGACTCCGCCGGCAGCAAGGGAGCCAGGCTGGTGTAAATCCGGAGTGACTCCGCTGGCAGCAACGGAGCCATGCTAATGTAAACGTGGAGCCACTCTAATGCTCTGCATTTACACCCAGGCTTTCCCAGTTGCAATCGACTCCCCTGTGTTATGCAAACAATGGCGATTCCAATTTGAATGTCATCCTGCCCTGCAATCTAGGGACACATACATATTTTTTAAACGCAGCAGCCCAGAACATCTAATGACCTCACTGCTTCTGATGGGGTTCCAAATTCAGGTCAAGGAATTCTCCCTGCGTTAGTCAGAACAGTCCCAAGATACCTCTGGGGCCACTTCATTTTACCGCTGTCTAGCCTGTGACAACATGTCCCTGTGTCACTACACAACATCTGCACATGGTGACACGACAGCTCAGTCTTGGATCGCAAAGCTGAGAGGAGACAATTTTATCTAGGGAGAGAAGGGCCAACCGCTCCCCACAACAGACTGTGCCAAGGAGGCAGAAGGCAATTGCTTGTGTGCTGGACACCGGCCAGAGCAGTAGATGGAACCCACCTACCAAGGCTAGAGGTGATACTCAACCAGCAAAAGCCATCATCAAAGATGGTGCAGCGTCCCTTGCACTGGTTCGGGACTGACTGAGAGACCTGCTTGTTTGGAATCACCAGAACCACTCTGCTTTCCTGGAGAGTCTCCCAAAGAAATGCTGACCCTGCTCAGCTCAAGAACAAACGTTGACGCTGCTTATCCAAGAATGGAGCCCAAGTCGTGCTGGCAGGAAACCTTTCCACAGAACCCCCTTCCGTGAGCACTCAGAGATCTGCACTTTCATGTGTCGCCCAGCTGAAGCTGGATGTCTCTTCCCAAGAAGCTAAATAACTAAACAAATGGCAAAAGCACGGTCTAAAAGCTCCAAATAAATAACGAGGCAGCACCTGCCTCCTTGGCAGTCGGCATTGGGAGGAGAGGGGCACGGCAGGCTAGATTCCGAGCTCCTGGATGCGCCGTCTGGCAGTGATGCTCAAAGCGAAACAAATGGGGCTGTGACTAAACAACCTCTTACCTTTCCACTGGTCTGAATTCCCAAGCGTGTCCCCGATTTCTCATCAAATTCCTCGGGATTCCTCCACACGCTGCACTTGACCCTGGCGGGGTAGAATTGGGATTTCCTTTAAAAAGGAAAGAGAAAACTACTGTCAGAGATTGGTACCGCTACTTTGTCGCCACCATTTTTCTGGGTGGGATTTCCCACGCTCACTCCTCTGGGTGGGGCCCCGCTTCTGGCTGAGACTCGGTAGCTGGTGGCCAGAACAGCGTGCATGGCTCATCGAAGTAAAAAAATAATTCTCATAGGGTTGTTCCTGCCCCATCCCGAAACGTGTGTTAATTTCGTTAGTTCAATGTATACGAACTGGGGTGGGGGAGGTGTCTGTTTGCCCTGGCGTTGTCTTTGATCTGATTTAAAGAAATAATATGAATCAGTTTGGAAAAGAAAAGACTGAGAGGGGACATGATAGCAGTTTTCAGGTATCTAAAAGGGTGTCATAAGGAGGAGGGAGAAAACTTGTTCACCTTAGCCTCTAAGGATAGAGCAAGAAGCAATGGGCTTAAACTGCAGCAAGGGAGGTCTAGATTGGACATTAGGAAAAAGTTCCTAACTGTCAGGGTGGTTAAACACTGGAATAAACTGCCTAGGGAGATTGTGGAACCAGGGGCAGGTGCCCATGTGCACGAGGCGCACCTAAGATTGTCAACTGAGTCAGGGTTGGGTCTTTGCTTCTTGTTGGTACAGGCTTGGGCCAAACCCAAATCAAGGCCTTAAGTTATTAGGGGAATAAATGAGGATCATAAACTATAGCCCCAAACTTACTATTGGCATTTAATGGATCAGCCACATACGAGAGTTTGGCTCATTAACTTTCCTTGGTGCTTTTTTTAATGCTTTGCATTAGGGGATAATCTGCGCATAGCACATTTAGATGCTTTGCAATAGGCCAGCGGCTTTCAGCCTTTTTTCATTTGCGGACCCCAAAAATATTTTGCCTGGAGGTACGGACCCCTTTGGAAATCGTAGACCTAGTCCGCGTTGAAAACCACCACAATAGGCATCTCTACCTCATTTTATAACCCAGTTACAACGAGTACATCTCACGCCATTGGGGCTGCAAAGGGACTTTCCCAGGAGCAGCAGCAACTTTCGGAAACGTTGGTGTCCCATCTGCATTTAGGGGTCACCCCAAAGCCCTGGGAAATCGACAGAAGACTTTCTGTTGACTTCAACAGGCCACAGCAAGGGTTAAAAAAACCTGACCCCAAAGGCCTGTAAACGATAAATAAATAAGTGAAACCTCATTGGGCATCTGTGCGGCTGATTGAGAAACTCTCATTTGCAAAGCGCTGGGAAATAATTAAAAAGTTTTCCCGGAGCCTAAGGAGGGAAGCAGCCCGTTTGTCACGCCAGCAGCGCGTGGCGCGCTGCAATTTATCACACCTGTCAGGTGTCAGGCGCTGAAATATTTAACTCCGCCAGCCCCGAGCCGAGCCTGCGCCGCGCCCCATCACTCACAGCAGATTCTGCCGGACATATGGGAGCCAGCGATCGAGGGAGCTGGCAATGATGGACGGAGATGACAGAGGGCTCCCCCGCCCTTCGCCGGCTCGGCTGAGAGGCCGACAGGACTGTTTTACAGCTCTGAATTGCAGATGAAGTAAACAGACAAGGCCGGGTTGGAACTGAATCACAGCGCCAATTCGTCACCACCTGTCGGAGAGCAGTTGAGGCTGCCCAGGGTGATGGCGGGAGGGAAATGGGAGAGAGATCCTGGATGGATAGGGAAATTCTTAGTGGATTCCTCAGATCCATCCACAAAGATGCAGCTCCCAAGGGGTAAGCAAGCAACCCACCCCCATTCCTCATCCCCTGACCGCCCCCTCCCAGAACCTCCACCCCCTACTCCCTGTCCCCTGACTGCCCCCCCCCCCCGGGACCCCCTACCCCTTATCCAACCGCCCCCGCTCCCCACCCCCTTACCATGCCGCTCAGAGCAGCAAGAGCTTGCAGCCCTGCTGCCCACACTGCCCGGCAGGAGCCGCGGACCAGAGCGTGGGCGGTGCGGCGATCTGAGGCTGCAGGGGGGCGGGACAGCAGGGGAGGGGCTGGGGGCTAGCGTCCCCGGCCAGGAGCTCAGGGGCCGGGCAGGACGGTCCCACAAGCCGGATGTGGCCCGCAGGCCGTAGTTTGCCCACCTCTGGCCTAGATGACTCGAGCGCTCTCCTTGCCCTCCGTTGCTATGGTTGCAGGAAAAGAGGGAGGCCCATTGGCAGGTGACATGACAGGGGAGAAGTTGCACTCAGGCTGTCCCGTGGATTAAAAAAGACTCCAGTCTCCAGGGACTGCCCAATCCAGGACCCTTCACCAGCATGAAACCCACTTTGTAATTCTTGGGGGAGAACAAAGCACACACTCACACACCTGTATCGTGGCTATTTCCCTGGCAACAGGATGGAAACCATAAGAACATCAGAGCGGCCACACAGGGTCAACCCAAAGGTCCATCTAGCACAGGTTCATCAGTGGCCAACGCCAGGTGCCCCAGAGGGAATGAACATAACAGGGAATCAAGTGATCCATCCCCTGTCGCCCATTCCTAGCTTCTGGCAGAGACTAGGGACACCATCCCTGCCCATCCTGGCTAATAACCATTGATGGATCTATCCTTCGTGAACTTATCTAGTTCTTTTTTGAACTCTGTTATAGTCTTGGCCTTCACAACATCCTCTTGCAAGGAGTTTGACTGTGCATTGTGTGAAGATATTACTTCCTTTTGTTTGTTTTATACCTGCTGCCTATTAATTGCATTTGGTGTCCCCTAGTTCTTGTGTTATGAGAAGGAATAAATAACACATCCTTATTTAACTTTCTCCACACCAGTCATGATTTTATAGACCTCTATCATATCCCCCCCTTAGTCGTCTCTTTTCCAAGCTGAAAAGTTCCAATCTTATTAATCGCTCTTCATACAGAGCCGTTCCATACCCCTAATCATTTTTGTTGCTCTTTTCTGAACCTTTTCCAATTCCAATATATATTTTCTTTTGAGATGGGGCGACCACATCTGCACACAGTATTCAAGATGTGGGTGTACCATGGATTTATATAGAGGCAACATGATATTTTCTGTCTTATTATCTATCCCTTTCTTAATGATTCTCAACATTCTGTTCACCTTTTTGACTGCCGCTGCACATTAAGTGGATGTTTTCAGAGAACTATCCACAAGGACTCCAAAATCTCTTTCTTGAGTGGTAAAGGCTAATTTAGACCCCATCATTTTATAGGTATAGTTGGGATTATGTTTTCCAATGTGCATTTCTTTGCATTTATCAACATTGAATTTCATCTGCCATATTGTTGCCCAGTCACCCAGTTTTGTGAGATCCCTTTGTAACTCTTCGCAGTCTGCTTTGGACTTCACAATCTTGAGTAGTTTTGTATCATCGGCAAAATTTGCCATCTCACTGTTTACCCCTTTTTCCAGATCATTGATGAATATGTTGAACAGGACTGGGCCCAGGACAGACCCCTGCGGGACACCACTATTTACCTCTCTCCATTCTGAAAATCATGAGGCACCTGCAACACTTACAATGCAAACCACTGAGTAATTCTGTAAACAGGCCCCGGCCCTGTAAAATCCTGAACGAGGCCCCAGAATCTTTTGCAAATTGTGGCCAATTTCAGAGGGAAATTCTAGATTGACAGGATCCAACTGGGCTCGCCTGACACAAGAGGCATTTAGCTGGGATCCCACCGGGAGCTCCATATGCACTGAATGTAACATATCACCCACTCACCTGGATACCCTTGCAAGATGGAAGTCTTGATGAATTCACACGATCGCAGGAGGACTAAGCAGCACACCAAGCAGTGGCCTCCAACGCACACAGATAGCAGAGACAAAAGCTAAGTCGCGCACACAGACACACACATCCCACGAGGGACGAGAACTCTGGGTCTCGAGCTACAGAGATGCAGTCGTCTTCCAAAGAAAACTCCATCCACCTCCTCTTCTCAGGCTTCTAGTCACTACACTGTTCACCAGCAGAGGGTACTGGCTCACACCCACACACAACATTAGACAGCACCGAGGTCTATCTGAGCAGTCCTGATTCATTTTCCTTAGACAACAGCAACCAGCAGTCCCAGAAGCTATGGGGCCTACTTCTCTTCTCACCGATCCTGGTGGCGATCAGGGGAAATCCCCTTGAAGACAATGAAGTTCCATGGGTGCAAGCGAGAGGAGCTTACATGATAAGCTCCATCCAGTAAAGGGCAGGAGTGTGTATTTAATATTTATTTTAATATGTATGTACACAGATGTTGAATCCCTGCGCTGTGTGACATTAATCTCAACCCTTTAACGGTGGCACACAAACACATGCACAGACACACAAACACACATGCACACACAGATTTTTCAGCATTGGGCCAAATTTAGGTGGATTTTCATGGGGACAGCAAAAGGTACATCCCTGACTCCAGCGAGACACCCCACTGCTAAATATCACAGCCTTGTTCCAAAGCCAGGAGGTGCAAGAGCATCTCAGTGAAACAGAATCATAGAATTCATCATTGTAAGAATCATAGAACCGGAAGTGACCTCGAGAGTACCCTGCACTCATGGCAGGACTAAGTATTATCTGATCATCCCTGACAGGTGTTTGTCTGGGCAAAACAACATTCTTTTCCCTAACTTCATTCTGAGAAAGTTAAACTGGTTTTGCTGCAATTTTCCCAGAACATTTCACGCTGAAGCAGACACCCCGAATGGGACATCTCAGCCCCAATGGTTAAAGTTGGTAATTAACAATCACTGAAAATAGTCTTGTAATCAACTGTGGTGGGCAACCTTAACGATAGGCATCACATCTGTAGTAAGTTACACCCCCACTTATTGACCAAAGGAAATCATTTTCCCTGCCTAAAGCCAGTTGCTCTAAAAAAAAGCTGACCTCACTAGTACCAAGAAATGCAGAGGCAATAAATCCACAGGGCCCTACAGCAATGCTATGATGTATTCGCTAGACGGTGATTTCGGTCTTCTCCCTTTGCGGGTGCGCAACCCAAAACCCCCCACGAAGGGGCTAGAATTCTGCAAGACAGGTGCTC